AAAATTATAACATAAGATTCTCTGCAAGAAAATGAAACTAGACCACCAACTTACACCATACACAAGAATAAACTCAAAATGGATAAAGGGCTTAAATGTACGACAGGAAACCATAAAAATTCTAGAAGAATCCAAAGGCAACAAAATCTCAGACATATGCCAAAGCAATTTCTTCACTGATACAGCTCCTAGGGCAGTTGAAACTAAAGAGAAAATGAACAAATGGGACTACATCAAAATAAAAAGCTTCTGCACAGCAAAAGAAACCATCAACAAAACAACAAGAAAACCCACTGCATGGGAAAACATATTTGCCAACGTCATATCTGATAAGGGCCTAATCTCCAAAATTTATAGGGAACTCATACAACTTAACAAAAAGAAGATAAACAATCCAATCAAAAAATGGGCAAAGGATCTAAATAGACACCTTTCAAAAGAGGACATTCAGAAAGCCAAGAGACATATGAAAACATGCTCAAAGTCACTAATCATCCGAGAGATGCAAATCAAAACAACAATGAGGTACCATCTCACACCTGTCAGAATGGCTATCATCAACAAATCAACAAACGACAAGTGCTGGAGAGGATGTGGAGAAAAAGGAACACTTGTGCACTGCTGGTGGGAATGCAGACTGGTGGGGGGGGGAAGGACACATATGTAATACCCTTTGTAATACTTATAATATTTTTTTAAAAAGAGTCTCTTCTTTCTTGACTTGAATTTCATTGATTTAAGGGTTTACATATTTCTTGAGGTTACTGCAATACTAATTTCTACTTTTATCTAAATGAATGACAGACTCTTATATTTGATTAACATGAGAGTTATAATTCTCATAACATCTGACTAAAATTTAATAGCAGAGAGCTATGAGAATTTATTACTAAAATTAAAGTCCTGTTAAGTAACACTAATCCTTAAGAGCATTATTTATAAATTAGAGGCCTGGTGCATGAATTCATGCACATGTGGCCCCCCCCTCCAATGTGGGCCTATTGGGCCAGGCCGGCAGGAGGGAGGGACCGCGGGCTGATGGGGGCAGGGCCGGCTAGGGGGAATGGCTGTGGGAGGTTGGCCAGCCAGCCAGCCAGGGGTGCGCATCATAGCGACCAGTCGATCCGGCATTCCGGTCGCTTGGCTTTTATATATATATAGACATAAAATTCACTTGTTAATATACCCATTTATGGTACTAAAAGTGTAGTTCAACTGCTATTTGCTAAAATACAATACAGTAAAATCTCACTGAGTAACAAAAAAAACTTACTGACTTAAGAAAAGGTCTTTGATAAATAAATGGAAGACTATTCAACACTTTAGAATTCATGCACATGTGGGGTCCGGCTGGCCCCCCCCTCCAATGTGGGCCTATTGGGCCAGGCCGGCGGGAGGGAGGGACCGCAGGCTGATGGGGGCAGGGCCGGCTAGGGGGAGTGGCTGTGGGAGGTTGGCCAGCCAGTCAGCCAGGGGTGCGCATCATAGCGACCAGTTGATCCGGCGCTCCGGTCGCTTGGCTTTTATATATATAGACATAAAATTCACTTGTTAATATACCCATTTATGGTACTAAAAGTGTAGTTCAACTGCTATTTGCTAAAATACAATACAGTAAAATCTCACTGAGTAACAAAAAAAACTTACTGACTTAAGAAAAGGTCTTTGATAAATAAATGGAAGACTATTCAACACTTTATATTTTAAAAAAATTCTTAATTGTTGATGAAATAGATTTACACTTGTTTTATCATCACTTCCTCTTCTCAAAGCAAGACGTGTGTGCATGCATATGCACATGTGTATGGACTGAAAAATCAACTCCAGGTTTCAAGTGCAGTTCAGAGTAAGAAAATTAAAGAAGCTGAGTGTTGTTGAGTCCTATGTTTTTATACCTGGAGTTTCACCATTCCTTTCTATTTCAACCCATTTCAACCCAACAAATCTTTTGGGGTTTTTAATATTTGTAACACATTATGCTACTTGCAGAGAATATAAAAAAGAGGGAGGAAGAGTGAGAAGAAAAATGAAATTCACATTCCCTGTTTTTATGAAGTTCATAATCTTGTAGAAGATGCATGTAAACAGTAGAAAACAGACATTTATATAAACCATTAAAGAAGAATAAATAAGTATGTGGAATGTAGAAAAGGAGGGTGGCAGATCCTAACTGGAGTGGGGAGTAGAAGCTATGAGAAGGTTTCCCTAAGTGACAACTGGGTTGGTTTTAAAGGCTCAGAAGGATCTTGGCAGAAGGTAGATAAGGCGTCCTATGTGGAATATGCAGCATGTAACAAAGGCGTAAGATGTAAAAGTGCCTAGCACATCTGGGGTTAACAACTTCTAGTGTGATACAGCCATCTGATTTCTAGGTAAAGGAGATTATTTGAAAATGAAGTCAGAAAGTGAGACTAGAGCCAGATTATCAAAAACTTAAATGTTGTTAAGAAGTAGTCAGGGCATCCCTGAAAAACTTTGAGCATATTTGTGATATATCTAGGTACAGCATAGCTCAAGTACTGAATTGCCAATTCTGTCCTGCACTAGAGCAAGGATGGCAATAAATATAAGTTATATGGTACATACATTAGAAAGTGTTATGTGCTATGAAGAAAATACAAGTATAGAAGGAAGTAGCATGGTCAGGACGGGCCTTATTAAAGTAGAATCTGAAAAGAGACTTGAAAGAGGTGAGGAGTTGAGCCATGCAGTTAATCTGGAGAAAATACGTTGCAAGCAGAAAAGCACATCCAAAACAAAGGCCCTAATACAGAAGTGTGCCTAGAGTACTATGGACTATTAGGAGATGAATGTGGAGAGAAGGGGGAGGAATGACAGGGTGATCATGTAGGACCCTGCAGACAACTACAAGGGCTTTAATTTTATTCTGAATAATATAGCAAGCATTGCAAGTCACATGTGAGCAGAGGAATGGCATGACTTGACAGATTTTAAAAGAACTGCTCTGACTACTGTGCTGACAACAGACTACAGTGGGGCAAAGGTGGAAGCAGGAACTCAGCTACGAGGCTATTGCAGTGATCCAGGTGAGAAATGACAGATCATGTGGGTGATGAGAAACGGTCAGACTGCAGATGTGTAATATTTTAAAGGTAGTGTTAATCAGATTTTTCTGACACATTGGATATGGGGTATGAGAGAGGAGACAGGAATGTGATCAAGGTTCTGGACTGACAAAATGGGAGGGCAGAGTTAACTCAAATGAGAAAGACTGCTGGTGGAGCAGGTTTTGGGGGAAAGATGGGAAGTTGGGGTGTATAAGTTTGGAGGAGTTCAAGGAAAAGTTCTGGGCTGGAGCTTCTGTTTGTTCTGCCTACAACAAATCCTGCATTCCAGGCTTGCAGAACTATAAGCAAGTCTCTACTGTGTTCCCCAAGTCTTTGTGCCTTCATATCTCTGTTTAGAGTGTTCTTACTCCTGTCTTTTCCCACTTGGTAAAAAATTCTCCCTCTTCAAAACTTATGGTAGGCATCTGTTTTATGAAACTCAGGTGATTACCATCTCCTGAAGCACCCTATTTCCTTAAGCCACTTAAGTAACTGAAATATGCAATGGCTGGTGTTTTAAGACACTCTAAAGGCTAAACAATTTTAATTTCTTTTTTGTTAAGAAAAAAAGCAGCCATTTCATAAGCACCAGCGACTTGCCTGCTCATTATCAGAAATCTTTAGAAACCTTTAAAGAAAATCAAGACCACAGGAAAAATCTTGGCAAGCAGCTGAGTAACCAGATTTTGCATTTTCCAATTTCAGTAGTTATTTGAAGACAAATCTTCACAAAGACTTTACAGGCTAAAAACAAAGAGAGAAACATCTTCTGCAAAAGTTCCAAAGTTATTTTCTGTTATAAAATTTTTTTCATTTTGATTGTCATACTTTTATTTGCTGTGGGGAGGCATTTAAATTAGAGGAATTATTGGACAAGAAAACCAGTCTCTTTTTTTTCATTCCCAAGAGATAAACTCTGCCCTAACCAGTTTGGCTCAGTGGATAGAGCGTCGGCCTGGGGACTGAAGGGTCCCAGGTTCGATTCCGGTCAAGGGCATGTACCTTGGTTGTGGGCACATCCCCAGTGGGGAGTGTGCAGGAGGCAGCTGATCAATGTTTCTCTCTCATTGATGTTTCTAACTCTCTATCCCTCTCCCTTTCTCTCTGTAAAATAAATAAATAATTAATTAATCAATCAATTAATTAATTACAAAATGTTAGCCACATACAAAAGTGGGAAAGTGAGGACCCTGAAACAAAAGCTCTAACAAAGTAATAAGTTTATAAAATGTTCTCTGAAGATTAAGAGTAAAGGATGGTATTCTACCAATATACTTGCTTTATACAGTATAGTATTTTAGATATTATGGGAAGATTATAACCTTTGAAAATAAAATAGTACAAAGATATCATTATACAGCTTTGGAAAATCAAGATTTATATGGACAACTAAAAAAAGAAGTTTTAAAATGTTTGATTCCATGTTATAATACACAGTATCTTAAAATACCACAAATAAACAGCCCATGTTCTGAAAGTTCTCTTACCAAAGAAACTCTTACTTGGGGTTTTTAAAAACTGAAGTATAAATGACATATAACATTATATTTTTAGGTGTAGTTTTAGTTGTTCAACATAATGACTTGATAATCATATACATTTCAAAATGATCACCACAATAAGTGTAGTTAACATTAGTTACCATACATGGTTACAAAACATTTTTTCTTATGATGAGAATTTTTAAGATCTACTCTCACAGCAACTTTCAAATATGCAATAAAGTATTAAGTGTAGTCACCCTGCTGTAAACTACATTCCTATGACTTATTTTATAACTGGAAGTTTGTTCTTACTTTGTTTTAAAAGCAAACAGCTTTTGAAAACCCTTTCAATTATAACGATAGTTGCAGTCAATAGGCAATCTAACATATGCATTTCAATCCCCAAAAGGAAATATCAGGTACTATTTTAAAGTTAAAAAACACCAACCTCTTTAATCTCATGTAGTTTTCACTTGCAGCAGGTCGGCATTCAGCTCTTTGTACCACTATTCCTTCCAATGAAAGCTTATCTTGAATGGAAAGAAAAAAATAACAAATGTATTCAGAGTTAACATTTATCATATTCAAGATTGTATTCTGACACATTACCCACAGTAATAATAAAATAAATAATAAAAATCAAAGAAACAAAAGGAATATATTTTAAAATTACAGTTTACATTCAATATTATTCTGTAATAGTGTCAGGTATATAGTATAGTGGTTAGACATTTATATAATTCATGAAGTGATACCCCTGATAAGTCTAGTACCCACCTGGCTTCATACATAGTTATTATTATATTATTGACTATATTCCCTATGCTGTAATTTACATTTCTGTGACTATTCTGTAACTACCATTTTGTATTTTTTTTTTTTTTTTTTAAAAAAAGGCAAGTCCATTGGATCTTATATTTCTTTTTTTTAAAATAAATTTTTATTGATTTCAGAGAGGAAGGGAGAGGGAGAGAGAGACAGACTCATACATACTTATTATTATATTATTGACTATATTCCCTATGCTATAATTTACATTTCTGTGACTATTCTGTAACTACCATTTTGTATTTCTTTTTTTTTTTTTTAAAAAAAGGCAAGTCCATTGGATCTTATATTTCTTTTTTTTAAAATAAATTTTTATTGATTTCAGAGAGGAAGGGAGAGGGAGAGAGAGACAGAAACATCAATGATGAAAGAGAATCATGGATCGGCTGCCTCCTGCATGCCCCCTACTGGGGATCGAGCCGGCAACCTGGGCATGTGCCCTTGGCCGGAATCGAACCTGGGACCCTTCAGTCCGCAGGCTGATGCTCTACCCACTGAGCCAAACCGGCTAGAAACAATTTGCATTTCTTAATCTCTTCACCTGTTTTACCATCCTCCCCACCCCATTTTCCTCTGTCAACTGTCAGTCTGTTCTCTGTATCTATGAGTCTATCTTGTTTGTTTATTTTTTTCAAAAGGAATTAAAGTTTATAGTAGAGTCATTGGTCAGAATAGAGAAAAACTTTATTCTTGGCTAGTAAAAAAACAGGCTCCTGTCAGGTTTATTTATTGGGCTGCTGCAACTCCTTGCCAATAAAATAGCTTTTATGCACTTAGCTCTTTCTCAAGAGAGTAGCTTAAAAGGACATAAAATTTTAAAAACTGAATATATACAGGCATGTGTACACATCCATATATATGTAAATAAAATCCTAGAAGATATAATGACTTGAACAGCCAGCCTAAAAAATATTGTGAAACTGGGCAGGTCCGTTGTCTAGGTTATTCTCTGTACCAGTTCTGCCTGCCAGTTGCTCTGACTTCTCTTTCCAGCAGAATCATTAATTTGGGTGTGTCCAAACTAGACGTTGAAGTGCTATGAATAATTGTCCAAATAGAAGGACAATTTTTCCTACCATTAAAAAGATTTTTCTTGGTGACCCTCATACAAAATTCAAGAGAAACGGAAGAAGGAAACAAAAGTTAGCACTACACTGTGCCTACTAGGCACAAAGCATTATGGCAAAGTCACTTAAAATACTGTATCTTATTTGATAATACATATGACTATCCCATGGAGTATCAGCTTTGCTACAGTCTGGAAATGTATGACTATAGTTAGGAAAAGCTATGGCTCAGTCATATTTCTGTGAGATTTCACCCAGGTTTTGAGAAGAGAATCAGGAAATCCTTTGGCTCATCAGCCATGCATTTATGATTCAGCTCTTCAGGGTGAATGACTTTATGCATTACTCTAACATTAACTAAATGCCTACTATGTGAGGGCACTGTCTAGGCATTGTGGAATCAAAGATGATTAAGACACAGTACTATCTTCAGGAAGCATGCAGTTCCCTGGGGGAAAGAGATAAACTGACCAAATTGTAAAGTGCAGACAGAACCGCACTTACAAGATTTATACTAGAAAAACTCTCATAGGGTGATGACCTTTCTTAATTTTGTCTTCAAAATCCAGGGGACTCCCTGTTGTAGCCCATATGCAATAATTGTGAACATACTATGTAATTCAATGGTTCAAGAATCCGTCAATGCAACATACGCAACAAATCTCAAGAACAACCTGTCAGATGACAAAAAGAGCAATGATGAGAAATGCCTACCTTACATCAAAGTATGCCAGGAAGGAAATAATAATAAGCCCCTAATTATTTTATTAATTATTTTATATTAAATTTAAAACATCTAAAAATAATTTCCTATCATTAATGGATTTAATAAGATTAGAATTTCAATTTTCTTAAAACAAAAACAAATCTTATATTGGAGTTTGCTTCTCACTGAAGCTGAAAGTTCTATCTAGAAAACCAACATATCAATAACAAGATTTGGGGAAATTTCAATGTATAAAGTATCGTAAATGTATTAGAAAAGCACACTATTAAAACATATTAATCCATTTTTTTTGTTACTCCTCACCCAAGAATATTTTTTTCCATTGATTCTTAGAGAGAGTGGAAGGGAGGGAGGGGAAGAGGAACATCAATGTGATAGAGACATACTACCCGACAGGGGCTAAGATAGAACCTACAACTCAGGTAGGTACATGCCCTTGACAGGGAATTGAACCAGAGACCCTTTGGTGTGTGGGTCAACAGTCTAACCACTGAGCACACCAACCAGGGCAGTAATACTTTTAAAAAACAAAATACATCTAGAATACTGTTCCTGAAAAAAATTTATTTATATAAATCCATGTGTTTATTAATGTTGAATACCACAAGAGGTACCTAATACCACCGTGAATGCTCCTCACTTATTTAGTAGCACCTACTACTGCACGTGAACAGGCTAATTTAATTTCTAGTTTCAATATTCTCCATATAACACTGGGAAGGATAAGAAGTGTCCAAAGCACCTGGCTCATTTCAACATGGCCACCACTCTCATCACTAAACTTTAATCAGGGTCACTCACACAAAGCAATAAAATTCACTTTCCAAAACCATAATTTTATGACCATTATATTCCATTTTCAAACAAAAAAATAACTTTTTCTTTAAATCTAAAATAGCTTTTAAATGCTTCTTAAGGGAAAAGAGAAGTCTTTGCACCGATTAATTGGCTGCTCTTAAATAACATCTCTGTTCACTGTTATCCTTTCTCCCTTCTCCTCTTAAATAAAATTTAAAAAGCCAATTTATTTATGATACAGTTCGCTAAGCAAAATGTAAATCCTTCATATACCTTAAAGCTTCACGGGAACATGTTTTCATATTCTTTCCACTAAACCATGCTTCTTTCCTTCCTCAAGACATTGCTTAAGATTTTAGGGGAAAGGTATTAAATATTATAATTAATTACTTAAAGCATTTGAATACCACTGCTGTTAATTATAGATCATATTTATTAAATATAGGAACCCTTTCTTGAGACTACTTTGTTGGCCCATTTTGAAAGACCATAAATACTTGAAAAATAATCCATTATTTTGCTCATACATGTATCAGATATTTACTGAGTGCCTTTCAAGTAAAAGGTAATGCAAAAACACACCAAGAATAGCAAAGATAAATGAAACATGGCTCCTGCCCTCAAGGAGTGGAGTCTAGTACCGCTCAGCAGTCTGGGACCCCTCAGGAGATAACGACCTGCTGGTCGCTAATCACAAATGGTCTGTGGCACATATTCTTAAAAAGTATTAAGGACCAAGAGTTTTCATTTATGTGGGTTTTACCCACCAATATTTACCATATTAGACACTAAAACTGAAAAATGTTTAGAAAATCAGGGTGAAAAAGACAAAAAAGCCTTGGCATTATTATGAAAGTTTTGATTTCACAGACCCCTTGAAAGGTTTTCAGGGACTCCTGTCCCCAGCAGTTTCCAGATCATATAGTCAGAGCTGCTGGTCTAGTAGGATAAGATAGGTATACAAATCATTGTAATACCCTAGAAGCACTTTTGAAAAACCTCCACTTAACACACTTCCAGATTACCAAGACTCTCAACTCCCCTCTTTTAAATATGACAGGTGCCCACAGTTTACTCTGCATCAGTGGGTGGCAGGTTAATCTCCAGCACACACACACACACACACACTTCTGCTCCAACTATGCTAGAATCCACTTATGCTAGCTTTGCTCTGTTAGTAATTATGCAATCTGATTATATACTACACTAGAGACCCAGTGCACAAAATTCGTGCATGGGTGTGGAGGGGTCCCTCAGCCCGGCCTGCACCCTCTCCAATCCAGGACCCCTTGGGGGATGCCGACTGCCTCTTGCAATCCGGGACTCCTAACCGTTCACCTGCCTGCCTGCCTGATTGCCCCTAACCATCTCTGCCTGCCTGCCTGATTGCCCCTAACTGCTCCCCTGCTGGCCTGATTGCCCCTAACCGCCTCTGCCTCACCCTGCACCCGGGACCTGGGCTTCCCTCCCGCTGTAGGCACCCAGGACCCGGGATGGCTGCAGCCACAGGGGACCGTGGGCAGGCGGCTTTGCCCGGGCCCCAGTCGCAGGCGTCCAGGACTGTGGGGTGGGCAGCTTGTCCCTCTTCCAGGCCGCAGCT